ACAGCTATCTGACCCCAGATCTCTGGAAAGAGACGGTGTTCACGAAGTCTCCCTACCAGGAATTCACAGATCATCTTGTAAAGACTCACACCAGAGTCTCCATGCAGAGGACTCAGGCTCCAGCTGTGGCCACCACCTAGTGGATTTTCTATAACAAATAAAGTGAATTATGTTCTAAAAAAAAAGAAGGTAAATGAGGTTGTGTGTGTGTGTACTGTCAAATTGGATCTGACTGGTACAGATGGAGTTTGCCCCTCCTCCTCCAGCAGAGCATCTGGTGGATTCGAACTGTGTACCTCTGGGATTGCAATGCAACTTCTTGCCACTAGGCCACCAGAGATCCCCTGAATTTGATTTTTTTAATAGCTGAGATTTGAGATATTGATGGGTTGTTAGGGCAGATATGGGTGTAAAGGAAAACTGGAAGTTTGAGAGAAGTCAGAGCTAAAAGGAAGGCAGTAGTGGACGAAAAACAATAGATTAGAGAGAAGTAAGAAACGGAGAAAAAGAAAGGGAGAAAAAGAACCCCCGGGTGAGGGAAAAAGGGGAAGGGGCTCTCAGTGATAGGCTATTTTTACTGTTAGTAGTAATGTTCAGTAATTTTGTGCCTTTGTGACATTTTCTCATGAATCTTCTAACTTTATTTCCACCCAGAGCTTCACAGGCAGAGCTTTAGGATCTTTTAAGTGGATTCAATTTTTTTTTTCAATTTTATTATTTCTTTCGTGTCTACTGTCAAAATCGAGCCTAACTGGTACAGGAGGAGATTGTTCCTCCTTCTCCAGCAGAGCATCTGTTGGCTTCAAACCACACACCGCTGGGTTTGCAGTACAGCTTCTTGCCACTAGGCCACCAGAGCTCCCCTGAATTCATGTATTAGAGTGTTCTTTAGGTTTTCTTTTTTTTTCTTTATTTTCTTTATTTTAGGTTTTCTAATTGCTAATGTGCTTTGTATACTTCCACATCCCTGACTACTTCATTTCATTCGTGCCTATAACTATTTGAGAAAAGAAAAATTCAGCAGGAACTTCTAACTTTGGTTGATTTTATGACATATTCTAATACATTTTTTTTAAGAGGCAAAATACTGTCTGGCCTTAGAATTTAGTCATCAACATTTTGAACCCCAGTTATGAATACAGATGTGACTCAAGATGTGTGATTACTACTTATATACAAATAAGTTATAATTTGTTAAACAAAATTTAGCTTGCATCCATACTTGCTCTGTACCCAGTACTGGTGAATTTCTGTTAAAAATCAATCTAATATCTATTAGCACTCCATACATTGGTTACAGAAAATAGATGAAGTTCTGAAATAATAAAACTGCAATTTAAGAAGCATGTTGGGAGTGAGTCTTGACTCATTTATTGGGTTTATGGTTTTCAGAGAGTTGCTGCTGATTTCCCATCAGAAAAGCATCGAGCAGCTGCAGGAAACCCTCAGGCAGAAGCTGCTGAATGACGACAACTGGAGGGAGAAGGTAACACGACGACGTGACGTGACGTGACTCGTCAGCACGCGCTGGCTTCACTCTCTTTCATCCTGTCCGTCAGCTACAAGACCGCATCTCAGCTACAATTCTTCTTCACATTTCTAAACTGGTTTGGTTCCTTCTGAAGTTCCTAGACTGCTTATTATGGTGTATGTCTTTACTGAGATTTAGACAATGTAATGAGAAATAAAAGATCCAAGTAGAAAATGAAATCCCATAAGATTAAAATAGCCCTTCGTTTTCATGCACTAGCATAATTTTTATCCTTAAGCACTTAACTTTTTTCTTCTTCTCACAAAATGATACTCTACATGTGATCATATTCTTAAAAGCAGGAAAACATAAATTCTTACAACCTCTCTGATTTTAAGAACATTATATATATATCCTGACAGAGTAAAATAGATTACATATTTAGCTTTCTGACTATTATATAAAAAGAAAATGTTCACTCAAGGTATGTAAACCAATACTTTCTTTTTTTGCCTTTAAACTTTTCTATATACTTCAGTAGAGAGATAGGACACATCCCCGGCATACACCCTTCCCAGTATTTCCTTCTCTGTTCTCATGACTGCCTCCTGGTCCAAATATAGGTTTCACATTAGCATAATAAAGTGTTCTGGAATTCCCATTTATCTCAGAGTCAGCCACAGTTTGTTGTAGTCCACAAATCATTTCTAGATCTGTCTTGAAATACAATATTGTGAATGACAGGATAATATCCATATGCATACAAGGAAATCCAATGAATACTACTATCATTCACATATATGCATCAACAACCAGAGTCAAAGAAGAGGAAATAAATTATTTCTATCAACTTTTGCAGTCAGAGATCAATTGAACATGGAATCAAGATGTATTGATAATAATGGATGACTAGTTGATAGAGATGGAATGATAGAATTTTGCACAATCTATGATTTTTTCATTGCAAATATGTTTTATAAGAAACATAAACTCAGGCTATACACATGGATTTCACCTGATGGTATGCATAGGAATCAGACTGACCGCTGGAGAAGCTCAATATCAGCTATGAAAACTAGGCCAGGTGCTGATTGTTGAACAGACCACTAACTCCTCATATGCACGTCCAAGTTAAAGCAAAGAAAAATGAAATCAAATCCACGGGAACCAAAATATGACCTTGAGTCTGTCACACCTGAATTTCAAAACCATCTAAGGAACAGGTTTGAGACCTTGGACACTAATGAGTGAAGACCAGATGAGCTGTGGGAGGATATCAAGAATATCATCCAGGAAGAATGCAGGGAGTCATTACAAAGACAGAGGAGGAAGAAAAGACAAAGATGGACGTCAGAAGAGACTCCAAATATTGCACTAAGTGCTGTTAAGTCAAAGCAAAGAAAAGAAATAAAGATATTACGGAGCTCAACAGGTTTCAAAGGGCAGCGCGAGAAGACAGAGTATTGTAATGAAATGTGCAAAGAGCTGGAGTCAGAAAATCAAAGGGGCCAAACTTGCTCAGCATTTCTTAAACTCAAGGAACTGAAAAACAAATCTCAAGCTGCACGTTGCAATACTTAAGGATGATTTGGGCAGACTATTAAATGATCCAGGAAGTATTAAAAGAAGGTGGAAAGAGTATACAGTCATCATACTGTAGCTAGCCTACGTATACCAAAACAAAGCACGGCTACATCCTGTGCTACCATCGTGCTCACTGCTATGCTGAAGCCCATTCTTTTGCAGTGTCTTTGGCAATCCACTTGGCTGAGAGTCAGCCTCTCTTATTGACTTGGTATCTTTCCAAAGATAATGTCTTCTCCAGGACTGGCCTCTCCTGATGTTATTCCCCAAGCATGTAAGACAAAGCCTCACCACCCTTGCATCTGAAGAGAACTCCAGCTGCACTTTTGCCAAGACAGACTTGTTTTTCCTGTAGAAATCCATGCTCTTCACCTACACAGCAAACCAGCAAAGGCGTCGATTCTCAGCCATCAGTTCTTCCTCCTTCCTTACTCACTGTCCAGCTGTCACTTGCATGTGGAACAACTGAAAATACCATGGTGACCTTGCCTTTAAACCTCCATCCTCAGTCTGTAGCCCTTGAGAGAGGTCCTTGGCCGCAGATTTGTCTGTTGCAATACTTTTTTTTTTTTTTACCGCGGCTCCTATGGGTATTAATTGTAGTTTCAAGTAAAATGAAATCCTAGGCAATTTCATTTTTTTCCCATAGGTAATGATGTTTATTGAGCTCTGGTGGCTTAGTGGGTAAATAATTGTGCTCTCTGAATCCACCAGCTTCTCTGCACGAGAGAAATGGACAGTCTACTCCATGCCATTTACAGCCCTTGGAACTTGCTGGACGATCAGCCATGAGTTGGTTCTGAGTTGATGGCACCTAACAACAACAACAACAACAACAACAATGATGTTTATCAATCTGGTTGTGAGGATTTTGTTCCCCCTTCATATGAGGTGTAACTTATACTGACAGGTTTGTTCTTTTAGGATTACATATAAAGCTGTATTTTGAGGAGCATTTTGGCAATGTGTATCGAAAGATTCTATCAAGTTCTCATCTTGTGATTCAGAAAATTCAGTTACACAGTTAACATGGACAAAGACTGATGGATGCTTCCCTTCCCTCCTCCGCCTCCTGTGTCCCTTCTCTTAGACCAACTTCTCCTGTCTCTGTTATCAAGAGGTTCCACGGCTCCTCACTCACATCCCACCGGGCATTCCGATACAGTTGCCTGGAGAAGAGGTCTCTGCTCACCAGCCACTCCTGCTCATGGTACCCTGATTCTGAGGTGCTGACGTAGTGACGAGAGCCAGTGAGCATTATTAGTCTGACCACATGAGAATATTATACTTAAGCTCATTTTACTCTCACAGTATATTCTTTCCCCTAATTTTGTTTTATTCTGGGAAGCTAAATTAATAGTAAAAAGTTAATCTATATGATTCTCTTAAGTTCTAAGATTTTGACATTTCTCTTATGAATTCATTACATCATAGATGTATTTGCACATATCTCATTTTCCTTAGTACAAAAGGGCATTTAATTGTATTAAAGGGATAGGACTTCTCATTAGTAAACATTGTCATTTACTTAGCATTAAATCAAGATCCAGGCAAATAAAGCCACAGAATGATAATTATGTCTTGGCTGTGTTCGCCATTGAGACTTTGAATAAAAAGTTCCCTAAAAGTCGTCTCATGCGAAGGAGAGTTGCTAACGTGACATTGTCATCTCTGTTGGGTCACTGTGCCTTTGCAGAGGAATGAACTGTTCCCTTCACAAATGTATAATACATGTATTAGAATAAACTTCATAACTTAAATGCTTTCAACATCAAAAAGTAAGTAGCAATTTGTGTCTATGCTTAATTATTTAAGAGTCTGTAAAAGGCACATAATAGAATCAATAGTTGCTATGCAACAAGGATAGTGCTTTAAAAATAGCTGTGTGTTTACTAATTGTCATGGATTTTTTTTGTTATTTATTTCTAATTTTGCTTTGATATGAAGAAAATAATGTGCATACCAAATCTTTAAAACTGGTTTCAAATACACAATGCTGTTACTATTTAGGTCAGACTTTGTAGTGAAATCTCTTACAACCATGCTGTTTACCTAAGCAACTCATATTACCTATTGCCTATAATATTTTAGCTCAATAAATAATTCTAAGATATCTATTGCCCAAAATATCACATTTAAGAGCATTTTAGAATTGCACTGTTGACTTCATTTTAAGTAATACATGAAACCTTTTAAAGCTAGTAACTAACACAAACAAAATCTTATTTTGTGTCTGAAACAATTGGATTTATAGTGGAGACTGAGGAAAGGGATGTTTACTTCAAGAAACAACCAACCGCAGAGTTGAAAGAAGGCAAACAAAAATTTTAAATTAATTTTTCAAAATTGAAGAAGCAAATAAATTCCTAATGCTTTCCAGTGTACTAGTATAGTAATAAGTTTTAAATAATAACTATTAGTTGTTAGGTCCCAACAAGTCAAGTACAACTCATAACAACCCTATGAACAAAAGATCTGAACCCTGTCGTATCCTGTGCCATTTTCACACTTCCTGACACACTAGAGCCCATTGCGGCTGTCACCGTGTCAGTCCACCTGGCTGAGGGTCTTGCTCTCCCTTGTTGACCCTCCAGCTTCCCAGCTCATGTTCCTTTGCAGGAAATAGCTAGAATCCATAAAGAAGAATGTGACATCAGGATTGAGGGAAGATCCATCAATAACATTTATTATGCAGACAACACAACCTTGTTTGCTGAAAGGGAGGAGGACTTAAACATTTACTGCAGATCAACCCTGCAGTCTTCAATATAGAAAGCATCTCAGTGTCAAGAAAATAAAAATTCTTACCACTGGACCAATAGACAACATCATGAGAGATGGAGAAAAGATTGAAATTGTCAATGACTCAATTCTACTTAGATCCACAAGCAATACACATGGTACCAGCAGTCAGGAGATCAGAAGACATATGCTCCTGACTTAGGCCCTAATGGTCTTTTCATCCACTTGATATACATCTGAGAGCTGGACAATGACTAAGGATGACAGAAGAAGAATTAATGTGGTGTTCAATGAACTGTCAAAAGAACAAACAGATATGACTTGGACAAGGTGTGGCCAGAGTGCTCCCTGGAGGCAAAGGTGGTGGAACTTTCATATGTACTCTGGGCATGTTGCTAGGAGAGGCTATTCTTTGGAGAAGGGCATCATACTTGGAAAAGTGGAGGGACAGTGAAGGAGAGGAAGACCCTCAACCAGGTGGATTGACACAGTGAATGCAAAAGTGTTCTTGAGTGTGTTAGAGCTTGTGAGGGTGGGGCAGGGTAGATCTGTTGTTCACAGGGTCATTATGGGTCATACCTGACTTGACAGCACCTAACAACAATGAACCACAGAGATTTCACTTGGAAAAGAATTCACGAAAAGATAGTATTTTCCACATCATTATTACACACAGGTGTCAAATTTAT